GGCATTTCTTGCTTTTTTTTTTTTTGCTAATGACTTATTTGCTATTTATATTTATATTTATTTTCAACTATAGAAATGAGATTACACAAAAAGCAAATTCAAGCAATTTTCTTATTCAAGTTCAAAATGGGTCATAAAGCAGCAGAGACAACTAGTGACATCAACAATGCATTTGGCCCAGGACCTGCTAATGAACATACAGTGCAGTGGTGAGATCCTTGAGGATGAGGAGCATAGTGGCTGGCCATGGGAAGTTGACAACAACCTACTGAGAGCAATCGTTGAAGTTTGATCCTCTTACAACTACAGAAGAAGTTTCTGAAGAACTCAGCCTAAGAACTCAGCGTCGACCATTCTACAGCTGTTCAGCATTTGAAACAAACTGGAAAGGTGAAAAAGCTTGGTAAGTGGGTGCCTTACGAGCTGAGCAAAAATTGTAAAAACTGCTATTTTGAAATGTTATCTTCTCTTATTCTTCACGACAATGAACCATTTCTCAATCAGACTGTGAGGTGTGACAAAACATAGATTTTATATGACAACCAGCAATTACCAGCTCAGTGGTTGGACAGAGAAGAAGCTCCAAAGCACTTCACAAAGCCAAACTTGAACCAAAAAAAGGTCATGGTCACTGTCTGGTGGTCTGATCCACTACAGCTTTCTGAATCCTGGAGAAACCATTATATCTGAGATGTATCCTCAGGAAATTAATGAAATACATTTAAAACTGTATGCCTGCAGCCAGCCTGGGTCAGCAGAAAGGCCCCAATTCTTCTTCACAATAATGCCCAACCACACATTGCACAACCAACACTTCAAAAGTTGAATGAATTGGGCTACGAAGTTTTGCCTCATCCACCATATTCACCTGACCTCTCATCAACTGACTACTACTTCTTCAAGCATCTCTATAACTTTTTGCAGGGAAAATGCTTCCACAACCAGCAGGATGCAGGAAAATGCTTTCCAAGAGTTTGTGAAATCCTGAAGCAAGGATTCTTATATTATAGTAATAAACAAACATTTCTCATTGGCAAAAATATGTTGATTGTAATGATTCCTATTCTGATTAATAAAGACACATTTGAGCCTAGTTATAATGATTTAAAATTCACGGTCCAAAACCACAATTCCTTTTGCACCAAACTAGTAGATTGACAGCTGACTTCTCAAAATCAGTAAGAAAGTCAAAAACAGTGGGATGTTATCTTCAAGGTTTAAGTAAAACAAATAACCACAAATCTACAATACCCCTAAAACATTTTTCAAGATTAAAGGCAAAACAAAAAATTAAGACAAAGCAAAAAAATTAAGAGAATGAGAATGTCTGCATTATAAAACTTCTTACTGAGTGTGCTAAAGCAAAAGTTAAAAGATGCCAAAAGAAAAGTCAGAGATGAAGGAAGAAATTAAGTAGTGGTAAACACATAGGAACATCTAGCTAAAAGTACTGTCCAGCAGAAATACAGTAAAAGCAACATAAGTCATTTAAAATTTTCTAGTGTTGACACTAAAAGTAAAACAAGGTGAAATTAATTATAATTCGAACATGTAATCATAATGAAAAACTGAGGTATTTTACATTGTTTTCATACTGTCTTTGAAATCTGGTGATTACAGAATATCACAATGTAGATGCTCAAACTGCCATAAAAATACTGGATCTATGTTTTTTATATAATTTACAGTTAATGCTGGGTACAGTGGCTCATGCCTGTAATCCCAGCACTTTGGGAGACCAAGGCAAGTGGATCACTTGAGGTCACGAGTTCGAGATCAGCATAGCCAAAATGGTGAAACTTCACTTCTACTAAAAATAAAAACATTAGCCCAGTGTGGTGGCACATGCCTGAAATCCCAGCTACTTGGCAGGCTGAGGCAAGAGAATCATCTGAACTTGGGCGGCGGAAGTTGCAGTGAGCCGAGATCATGCTACTGTATGTAATCCAGCCTGGGTGACAGAGTGAGACTCCATCTCCAGGAAGAAAAAAAACCTCAAAAAGTAAAAATAATTTGTGGTTAAGAAACATTTATGTGTCTCAGTTGTTCCAAACAAACAGGTTTTACAATAACCGAATCAAGTGTCAGTTTTATACTAAATAAAAGTAAAAATTCAGTTCCTCAGTCACAGTAGCCACATTTCAAGTGCTCAAAAGACACACGCAGCTAGCAGCTACTATACTGAATAGCATAGACAGAAGATTTAAAAATAACCCCGCCAAGGATTTAAAAAGACAATGGACAAAAGATGTAAAAATTAAAAAGACAATTCTAGAAAGAGGAAATCCAAATAGCTGGTAAGTTTTTGAAAAAGTGCTGGGTGGAACATGAGGTCAAGAAATCGAGACAATCCTAGTCAACATGGTGAAACCCCGTCTCTACTACAAATACAAAAATTAGCTGGGCATGGTGGCACATGCCTGTAATCCCAGCTACTCAGGAGGCTGAGGCAGGAGAATTGCCTGAACCCAGGAGGCGGAGGTTGCGGTGAGCCGAGATTGCGCCATTGCACTCCAGCCTGGGTAACAAGAGTGAAACTCCGTCCAAAAAAGAAATAAAGAAAAAGTGTCAAACTCTTTCATATCCTGGGCAGGGTAAATTAAAACAACAGTAAGCTAAAGCCATATTCATCAAGTTGGGAAAAATGAAAAATAACTCTTCGTGAAACAGTAAAAATAAAGGGATCTACTGTATACTGCTGTTGGAGTATACACTAGAGCATCTACTTTGGAAAAGGCATACTAGTGAAGGTGAAGATAAACATACATGCTTGACAAAAATACATGATAAGGTGCATAAGAATACATGTACAAGAACATTCATAATAGCCAAAAATGGAACACAATCCAAATGTTTACTAATATTAGACTAGTTAAACTGTGGCTCATACCCATTAAGACTTTTTATACTATACTTACTACACTATAGATATTGCTATATTGCAATATAAGAACTATACTATAGATATTACTATATTGCAATAGAAGAACTAAATGTGCTATTTAAATCTTAGCTGCATGAGAGAAAAAGATACATAATAACACGTAATATATAATCCACATACATACAATTAAAAAACAGGCTAAATGAATCTAAATTGCTTAGGAATGCTGACATAGGTAGTTAAGAAATACTAAGAAATAAAGCAGTAAATAATTGCCCTTAAAATCAGGATACTGGAACGGGCACGGTGCCTCACGCCTGTAATCCCAGCACTTTGGGAGGCCGAGGCAGGCGGATCACCTGAGGTGGGGAGTTTAAGACCAGCCTAACCAACATGGAGAAACCCCGTCTCTACTAAAAATATAAAATTAGCCGGGCGTGGTGGCGCATGCCTGCGATCCTACCTACTCGGGAGGCTGAGTGAGGCAGGAGTATCTCTTGAAGAGGAAGGCAGAGGTTGTGGTGAGCTAAGATCGTGCCATTGCACTCCAGCCTAGGCAACAAGAGTGAAACTCCGTCTCAAAAAAAAAAAAAAAAAAAATCAGTATGGTGTTAACCTCTGAAAGAACTGAGGAAGGGGATGATCAGGAATAGAATGGAGAGGGGAGCTTCTCAGGTTCCTGACTCTGGTAGTGGTTACAAGGAATTCACTTTGTATTCATTATACTATGTATTGATGTTTGTATGCTTAAATACTAAATATACAGAAAAAGACACAAAAGGTTTAAAATTCTATCTAAGACACATTAATTGCCTTGCTGTATTTTTTTAAATTACAAAGTGGCAGAAATTTGGTTACACTATAAAGAAAATTTAAAAGCACAGGAGTCTAATTTTAATTCCATCAGACGTGATTTCCGTACACAACACAGAAGCTAGTAAGCGTTAAGAAATGATGCATAAATTGAGTCCACTGCCAAAACTTACGGAAAGTAAAACGTGGAAAATTAGTACCTTTAACTGATAGTGTACCCCTAAAGAACCTACACCACAGAATTAAATACCAACACAATAAACATGAAGGATTTTAGATTCTTTGTTTTAAAAGCAAGTACAATGATATTCCTTCAGGATACCTTTACAAAACAACCGAGACTGTAATCCTTTACATAAAGATTGTATGAAAACTATGTGAAAAAGAACCAGTACTAATTTACTATAAAAGCCTTATAACGTAAATTTATAAATCCGTTGTTAAATATTCTGAATTAATTCTAATTTTATGATAGAATCTCACTATTTTCAGCAAAAAACAGCTAGCATTTGGCAAAGCAAAGGTTCAAAAGCTAAGGATAGTAACCAAAGAAACTTAAGACGAAACAGTCCTTTTAAAACTCTCATTTACAGTATAAGGGGAAACTTTGAACACGTCCCTTCTACTCATCAATAGTAAAACTCACAATCCCACATCCCTCTTCGAGAAAAAGTCAAGGCTTTGTGTTGCAGCAACAACGGAAGAGATGGAGGGAAGCTCCACTCCAGTCTTCCCTGCCTGCTCCTTCCCCAAAGCCACTCCAGAGTACCAGGGAGGGTTGAGAGGTAAGGCATGAAGGGCGCAATATCCAATACAAGCAACGCGACTGACGCATCTGGTCAAAATTCATACAGAGGACTTGTCTCTGTCCCCGGATAGAGGTCCCCCGTTCTGCAGCATAAGGGTCAGCTGCTGAGGCTTCACACTTCCCTGCTCTCTTACAACCGGAACGTCACGCTCCTCACCTACCACCCCGATGCAGAGCTAGTCTCAGGACTCCCTGTACTTGTGAAGGATTCGTCGGCAAGCTCAAGGGGAGGCCACCAGACAGAGCTCGCTTGGTCCTGGCCTTCCCGGCCTATACAAGCCTGGCCCCTTCCCAATTCCCAATCTCCACAGCCTTCCATCCTCCCCCTTTCGATTCACCTTTCGCCAACGACGCCCTTGGCCTTCATTTGTAGCAAGTGTACCCCACAGTTAACTCTCGAACAAAAGTCTGCCTTTACCAGGGCAAAGAGGGGAAACAACGCCTGAAGGAATCGCTTTACCCGATCGCCTGGCCGCGTCCTCTGCTGGGATTCACCTGCTGTTGCCGACGGTCCACAACCACTCCCGGCATGCCCCGCGCACGCACCACCTCTCCGACCCCGCCCCTCTCCCGCCCAAACACGTGACCTCCTTTCGTCTCTGTCCACGCCCACTTCCGTTCCTCCACTTTCCCTTAGAAAGGAGGAGGGAGCTGGGGGTGTTAAAAGCGTAGCGACTTCCTCCTCCTCCCCGCCCCCGCCCCCGCCCCTGTACCCCCTTCTACAATGTCTTCCGGGTCGCAATCGCCTAGCGCCTTCTGGGAAAATATCTCATTTCCTCCCCTCCCCCTCCTCCTGCCTTCAACCAACCAGCCACCCGTCAGAGAGGGACATGCGCAGTGAGTGTCTCCCGTCTCTTCTACCCGAACCCCCCCTTCCCCCCAAGCAGAGAGACCCCAGCAGCAGCAGCAGCTGATGATGAAGAGAGAGGCAGTGGCAGAGGGGGGGCACCTTTTATTTCTATTTTTAAAGGGACAGGACACTAATTCTAACCCACTTCAACCTTGAATTGAGGGGGGTGGGGGGAAGGTGGCTGAGTTCCTTCCCCCACCCTCCAGCCCTGAGCCCTGAGAGGGGGATTGAGCCTGAGAGAGAAGGAAAAGGAGTTTCTTCTTCTTCGAAAATCCCCATCCACGACTCCTACCCCCTCACCCCTCCAACTCGCCTCCCTCCCGAGCCCCCTCCACCCTCCTCTTTGGCCGTGAGAGGAGGAGAGAAAGAAACCAAAAGCCTCTTAGCAACACAGACCTTTTGCTGCTGCTGCTACTGCTGCTGCTGCTGCTGCTGCTGCTGCTGTTGCTACTGCTGCTGCTGCTGCTGCTGCTGCTACTGCTGCTGCTTGGCCCTGGCTGGAGACATCTCACTACACCCAGGAGCAGCCACTTCCCCAGCTCTCCTCCTCCTCCTTCGCCTCCTCCTCCTCCACTCCCCCCCCTTTATTACCCTTTGTGTCATCCTCCACAGCTCCAGGGAAGGCACTCAAAAGTGGGGGGCAGGAAAGGTAAGTGTGTCTGTGGGGGCTTCATTGCCTTCTTCTGGCTCTGACTTTCACTCGGGGCAACAGTAGCACCAAACCACATACGCAGTGGAGCTCCGGGGTGAGGAGGGGGTGGTGGTGGGGGGGGGAGTGAAGGAGGGGTTGGAGTAGGGAGGGGTGTGTGAGGTGGGTGCCCATCCTGTCAGGGGAGGAAGGGCACTTTTATTTTTATTTGCTGTTGTCAAAAGTGGTTTCTCTCCTCCAGCTAACATCTGATTTTGTCTTGCTCCAATGGGGGAGAATACAAAAACAACCCCCTCCTTCCTCCAATGAGGCGCCAGGGAAAGAGACAGAAAGAGGCACACTTTCTAGATGTCACTTAAAAAAAAATTCATTGGAGAGCTCTTTTCTCTTTCCCCAGGAAAAGCTCCACTGCATTTGTTTCTGAGTGGGAATATGTCGGGATCTGGATTGTATTGGAACTGCTTATCCATTTGTAGACCTGAGTGTTTTCCCCTTTTTGGTCCTGTATGAGATTTGGATATTGACTTTACTGTTGGAAGACTTGATTGGTTTTTGCTTTAGGGATTTCATTTTCCTTTTTTTTCGTTTTGTCTGACTTCCATGGAAAATTTCAAAATTTTAGTTGGTAGAGGCCTTTGGTTAGGTTTTGACTTGCTTTATTGCTTTTTTTGTTAAATGTCTGTTTCATATATCAGTATATAAAGTCCAAAGCTCTATTATGCTTAAAGTTTAAATGCCACTGGTATTGTCTGTTCCCACATACCTTCCTGATACTTATTTTCCAGATGATGAGAATATTAGCTATTTTATAATTACTCTGGATGTTTTTATAATCTTTGTAACTTCCCTGAACAAGTAATCCCCATTGAAAACTTTGTTGTTCTGGCTGCATGGAAGGCCAGACCTCTCCATCAATAGTTTTCTGGATTGGTACCACTTTCAGTTTTAACTGAATTATTTATTTACTGTTGTAAATTGAGATGAGGTTTTCATCTCAATTTCTCTTGGGATACTGGACCAAATTGCTCACTATATGTAAAAGGAGACAAATTTCTAAAATATGTTTTCATGAGTCAAAGAAATCATGAACTTATAGTTAGTATATTAACTGCAGTTAGCTATAAATTGAAAGATAAATCCAGATTTAGGTTTATGGAATAAGAATATTGATAAAAATCACTATTCATTTTTCTGTAGTACGTTCTAAGTGCATAGCTTTAAAATTCAGTGCTGTGTTTTATTTCACAAATGCTAGAAAGTATATTTCTGATGTAGGCCTTTTACTAGGGCTTAAATTGGAAAGTGTTATTTTGTTTCATATATATATTTCTTTAGTCTTTCCTTGAAGATGGATGCACACATGCATATACACACACTCTCTTTCACTCTCGCTCTCTCTCCCTCACACCCTTTTTTTTGTAACTGCATTGATATCTCTGATCCCATAATTTATGTCAGCAAAAAATATTCTTCTGTAAAGCAGCAATTTTGTGATCAGACTGGCAATATGAAAACAGCAATTTGATCAACTAGAAAGGATTGAAGAAATATAAATCTAGAAGGATATTTGGCATAAATATTATAAAGACATGATAATACATCTAATTTTTTATTTTCTGTATGGTTAAAACTAAGATATAATATACTCATATTTTAGTGACAGTAAAGCATTGCATATGTAGAAACTTGTTCTGTAAAATTTTAATTATCAACTGTGTGCAAAAGTAGACATTTACATACCGAAATAAAAAAGCTGTGTAGCAGTAAACAATATGGTCTTATTTCCCTTCTGTTATAAATTTGAACAATTTTATACCTTTCTCTGAGATGTAATTGGTGCACTTAAGCAGCAGTCTGTTCCAAGTTCAAGTTTTTCTCCCAACATCAGTACTGCCATTCCAAGTCCTTGTAAGATTTCTTGTTCTCACCTTAAAACCTCAGCAACCTTAAAGGTAAGAGACAGACAGTAGAACTTACTTGACGAAATTAATTTTAAGAAAGCGAATTATGTAGACAATTGGGGTGGTAGCTGAGTAAAAATTTAGTCTTGAGTTTAATGTCTTGACTTATTTTATTTTTTTAAAACATTTTTTATCACACCCCTCACCCTCACCCCCATGATCCTTTCTGGTTAGAAGATTCCACACTTTAAGTTGGATAATGATTTATGTTTAGAAAACCCTTTTAAGTATTAAGAACTATTGATACTTCAGAATTGTAATAGTTCGACTGGGTGATATCTTGGAGGTCACCTTATCCAATTCTACATATTGCTGAAATTCCAAGAACTTGAACTTGCCTGAGGTTCCAAGGCCTGTAAGTGGGCAGAGTGCGGATCAGAGAACTCAGGTCTCCTGATGCTCACTCTGCTGTACTACCTTATTTCCTTTGTCAGAAATGAAACTATCATGTACAGTTTTGGGTATAGCATCTGAGGGTTTCGTATGGGGGCATATTATTGTAAGAATATTAAGATAAATAACTTCAAAGCCATTATTTTGTCTACTTACATTCAATAATTAGTTGTCAATTTTTTAAAGAATCATTCATTGTACTTATTGTAGATTATTACTATTTTGAAACTATTTCAGCTTTCTCTAACGCATATTTTCCCTTGCACTTACAATTAATCAGTAAATATACTTACTGTTGTATTAAGGACCTATATTTATAAGAATAAATGGAATGCATCTTTTATTCTAAATGTTTACTTGTGAATCTTGCCCTATGCACTGACTAAGAACAAACATTTTTGTTTTGTCAACACATCCATCTACTTTTGGCACAATATCTGGTACACAGTAGGCCCTACTGGTAGCTTGTCATAATCCATGTTAGTTTTAGAGTTAGGCGTACTGGAATTTCTTTACTTGCATATGTGGCATTCCTTTTCTGTCCTTTTATTGTCCTCCCTTGCTACAATTTTCACTACCATGAACATTTTTTCTTGAAAATTTTTTTCTTTATCTCTACTGTGGCTCTCATTTTATTGAATTAAGAGTCAAATTAAATACTATTAACAATATAGTACCCATAGGAACAAGTAAAACATATTCCCTTTTAATCTTTATACAAGAAAAAGTTTGACAAAAGTGATTTATTATGAATAAGCAATGATCAAACACATTCCCGTTAAAAATATACTTGTAAAAATTGTTCAGGATGCACTTAAATTTTGTTTCATTGACTGGTGCAATAGGTTGTTGGAATGATTAGGCCGCTTTTACCAGCTCTATAAAACAAGTGCTACGTAGGTGACATGTTTCCCTGACTTTGTTTTTTTGGTCCTTACCCAGACAATTATCAACCTTCCAGTTTTCTATGGATATGAAGATTTACTCCTAGTCATCAGTGGGACCCCCATGAAGTCAGCCAGAAAGCCTATATCCAACTTATGTACCTTTGCAAACTTGTCTGGAATTTGACTGTATGTGCAAAACAGCTTGTACTTAGTAATTCATTAAACATCTTTTGATCATCTGCTCTCTGTCAGGCACTGTGCTAGGCATCTGAAAAACAAAGATGGTCCCTGCAGTTTAATGTGAAGAGATATCTTAATTGTATTCCACAAGTGTATTGGTCATATCTTTGTTTTGGTGTTTCTACCTGAATAAATTTTATATTAACTAAATGGATACTGTTAGGTGGAAAAATGCGTGCTTAAGAAGGATATTGCTGTTATTTTATTAAAATACAAATATATAAAAAAATTTTCCACTTAATACTGTATTCTAGGGATTTATATTCTGTATATAGTTCACACAGTTTAGATAATGAAAATAGTCTATGTGGCTGCCTTTGCTGGATTTTTATTGCTAACAGTAATTCTTTTAAGATGACCAACAATGTTCATTAAATTACCTCATTAAATTTTTCCACAAAAAAACCCACTACAAACTCTCTAAACTTAAATTTTTTCTCAAAAGTAACTTTTTTCTGTGTTCTCTCATATAACAGATTATCTTTCATGATTCATTGGAAGACATTGTACATTGTCATTTTAAGCTTTCATATTTTTTTACCATAT